AATTGATTTAGGTCACACTGGAATTGTTCACAGAAGGAATTATCGTATGCATGCAGTGGCCTCAAAAATGGGGTTAATTGGACCTCTCCTAGAATGTGTAGATGATGGTAGGAACTTTTTAGTTAATTTAAATCTTTGAAGAGTTGTAATTCTAATCTTGGTAAATTTTAAATCAAATTTAAAGTTGTAATACTAATCTTTGGAGTTTTATTTAATATTAGTCTTATAATCTTTGAATCTATTGACAAAGTTGTAAAGAACCCGTGGCAAGTAAGACATTTTGTAATATCTCTTTCAATATTAATAGCAGCCGGTTCTATTTTTGAATGTAGACTCATATAATTTGTTAGGAGCAGGATATGAAGTCAGATTGTCGATATCTCTTTCCGGAGTCTTGGAACCTCTGAAAAGTGACCTCCGTCGGCTCCGATTTTTTATCTCCGGCCTCGTTGGACATAAATAGCCCATTTTTTAAATATATACGCCCAATGACCCCTAAAATACACCCCAAAAAATTATTTTTCTTTATCAAGTTTTTGATGTCAAAAGAGGGTGTCAAAAATTGCGTTTTTTTTTTATTTTTTTTAATTGCAAAAAATGACAAGTTCTGATAAAAAATATCGGAGTAAAAGAAAAGATAAAATATTATTTATATTATTATCTAACACATTGATGAAAAAATTTCAAAAAAAAATTGTTTTCGTGGGCTACGGGGTGTTTATATTTTTTTTTCATCAATGTGATAGATAATAATATAAATAATATTTTATCTTTTCGTTTACTCCGATATTTTTATCAGAACTTGTCATTTTATGCAATTAAAAAAAATCAAAAAAAACGCAATTTTTGACACCCTCTTTTGACATCAAAAACTTGATAAAATAAAATATTTTTTTTGGTGTATTTTAGGGGTCATTGAGAGTATATATTTAAAAAATGGGCTATTTATGTCCAACGAGGCCGGAGATAAATAATCGTAGCCGACGGAGGTCACTTTTCAGAGGTTCCAAGACTCCGGAAAGAGATATCGACAATCTGACTTCATATCCTGCTCCTAACAAATTATATGAGTCTACATTCAAAAATAGAACCGGCTGCTATTAATATTGAAAGAGATATTACATAATGTCTTACTTGCCATGGGTTCAGTCTTTGTAAAGGTCTAATTATAATCTTTTTTGAATCTTTAATCTAATCTTTTTCTTCAAATAAAATAAACGAATCAGATGGATTGAACATGAAATATTGATAGGTTCTTTAACCGAAAAAAAGGTAGGGGGGGTTGTAGGTCCCTTCGCTCTTAATTTTTTGCCCTAGCAGTCATTTTTGAGACTAAAATCGCTACACCTTAAAATTGTAAAAAGTCAATGGGCATTTATAGGGTTAAATTTATATTAAAGTCTTTCATCAATGTTTCTTTTTTCCTTTTAACTAAATCTGCATTCTCTCTTTTTCGGGTTTTGTTTAACTTAATGTAACTTTTATTAAAGCCCGGTTTTAGGCCTAAAGGGAGGGCTTTGGGTATGTAAGAAAAGTCAGAAAATTTCAACAGCCTCAGACCAATACTTTTTGAGTTATGTAAAAAAAGTTACAGGGGGGGGTCAAATTGACCCCCCCCCCAGCGGGAATAGGGTTAATATTACATCTGCTTGCATTTCCCTTCCTCAGGCCAGACACAGTGACATACATAGGGGGGGCCCTGCCCCCCCTGGAAAATACAAAATTAAAAGGAAACTACGTTTAAAAAGTAACACCTGACAAAGACAAAAACTAAGGATTTGTCTAAATTCACTGTTAATACAAGGAGAGAAAAGTTTTAGCCTTCTTAAAGAGAATAGTTCATTATAAACACAATGTACTATGACAGCGACTTATCGATCTTGTAGTTATAGCTTTACACCCTATAAGGCTGTCTGAGCTCTTTACTGAAAAAATCATTGAAATGTTTGTGCAAGCAAATCCCAGAAAATTGTAGCTTAAAAAAGTTGGTGAATATGTAGATTGAGAAAATTTTATCTAAAAATTTCAGAAGAAATTTCGTTAATTAGTAAAAATACAATTTTAATGATGCTGTGATTATTGATTTAGTTAGCTGTGATGGAGTTAAGTGATAAATTTATAAAGTTAAAAAGTTAGTTTTTCAAGCAAAGAATAATGTTTAGACTCTATAAGGTTAGTAACCACCCAAAAATGTAGTCTTTTTGGTGTATTTTTATGGTGAACAAAATAAGTCGAGATTGGAGGGGGGGGGGCAAAAAAAAATAAAAAAGGTATCAATATTTTTTCAAAAAAGGGTTTTTTAAGGGGGGGGCACACTGTTGCCAAGGGGGGAACCCAGAAATTTTGTTTGCGCGCCTAAGCCCCCCCCCCTTAAACAAAAGCCCTCATACGCCCCTGTTCGGAGGCCTTAAGTTACAACATTCTCCCCTTCTATGCGACAGAATACTATTTTTATCCTCAATTTTAATTTAAATCTTACCACTTAAATGGCTCATTTTTTCAAAACATTAAAAATTATGCACCATAGCATACTCTTAACGTTTAAAGGGCGCTCGCCGCTCATAACAAAAAATTGGAACTGCTTAACGAGAAAATTTAAAAATAAAATTTTATTGTTAAGAACATCCTTAACGCTCAGGTCATGACAGTGACTGTCAATATTGTGATTTTTCGCATCTTTTCTTTAAATTTGTTTATCTTTAGATTTAGAATTATTTTCCTCAAAAAGAAATTCAATCTTTTCTCAAAAATGGCTTACTGTTGACAACATTGTGAAAATGATGCTCATAACGTATTCTTTAAGTTCTGAAAAATTTGTGCTGTTTTGGCGCCCATAACTGAAAATTCGTACCATGACAGTTATTTTTGTGATTTTTTCATCTTTTTTTTTGTTCTTTAGCCTACCCCAAACAATTTGTCTCGGTACTCACAATGCGTAAAATGATGAAAAATGATCTTAGTATAATATAAGTCAGTTTACTAATGGAAAGCACAATTGATTAATAAATAAATAATAAACTTCTAAAATTTGAAAAATTGCAATTTCAATGTACTAAACTTATCACTTAAAAAAGTAGTAACTGCCGGAAGACTCGAATGCTGTGGCATGGAAGACCGTACTACTGTAGCTCATGGCTGCCGGATAATAAAAAAAATATAATATGTAGCATGGAAGGGGAAAATGTTGTGGCTTTATGGCTCCAGATGCTAATGCATAATGAGAATTGAAAGAAAAAAATCTGAATTATTCATTTAGCTGGCTGTTCGATCCCTTTAGCTGGCTGCAATTCCTGCAATTCATCATGTGTAAATGGCTCATGAGAGCACATTTTAGTTTTATAAATTTATCAAGGAATGTCTCTTTATGAAAGGAATTTCACTCTTGATCCTTTAATTAAATAAACTGCCGATTTATTTAACCTTGTTTGAGGACCAAGCCAATAACTCTAAAGACAGGTTTTTGGCGACAAGTATAATTTCCCCTTTGATAATTTAACACGTTTTAGGTTATTTTCTCCATCTATTACCTGTTTATCCTAAAAAGGCAAGAGGGGGTTAAACCAATGCGTAGTAGTGTCCCCCTTAATGGAAAACTAAGGGGGACTCACCCCCCTGGAAAAAGTAGCGCAAGAAGAGAGAGCTTGCATCAAATGATTACTCAAAATGGAGATATTTTTTAATCTGAACCCTTGGTAACACAATTTTACCCTTCAACCCCCACAACTGGTCGTGGTTTTGACATTAACATGACCAAATTCCCTTAAAATTTTCCAGGGGGGCAGTTATTCAAATATCCCCCCCCCCCTGGAAAATATTGTAAACAACCCCTGCCTCTGCATTATAAAAATGTATATATCTGTTATAGCCTCAAATAATAAAATTGGTGCGGCAAAAAAACTAAGGGGGGTGGGAGGGTGTTTGTCCCCCCCCCCAAAGTCTGTTCAGAGTTAATATCTAGCTGTAAACCAAACCCTTGGCTAAAATCTTATATCAAGTTAACCCTAATATACCATTGTAAACGTCATAATGGTATAAACGGACATATGTATTTGAGAACATGGGTATTCAGACATTAACTAATGACAGCTGTATATTAACAGCTGAGAGTACTAAGCTGTTAAACAGACATCTATCAGTTCCATTTACTCATCTTCCATCTAAATATTACGAGAGGTTTCGTGATTTATGTTTAAGTCCGTTTAACCCATTTTGAATGATACGACGTCCGAATATCCTATATCTCGTGTGAGGTCAGAAATAAAAGTCAGAAAAAACATGTACCCGTCCGAATACCCATGCACTGGACTATGAAATGTCTGAATAGCGACACTCTGATATCTCCAAATATATGAAGTTGAGAAAGAATGGATCATAGTTGAGGTATATATTTCTTGTAAAGGAAGGATTGGTCATGGTTGAGTAGGATATATCAAGTTGAGGAAGGATGTACTAAGGTTGGGTCAGATATACTAATTTTAGTAAGGATGTTTCAGGATTGGATTGGATATATCAAGTTGAGTTAGGATGGATCAATTTTGGTTGAATATATCAAGTTGAGTTAGGATGGATCTGGGTTGGGTCGAAAAAAATCAAGTTGAGGAAGGATGGATCAGGGTTTGGTCAGATTTATCAAGCTGAGTTAGGATTGATCAGGGTTGGGTCGAAAAAATCAAGTTGTGGAAGGATGGATCAGGGTTGGGTCAGATATATCAAGTTGAGTAAGGATGTTTCAGGTTTGGATTGGATATATCAAGTTAAGGAAGAATGAATCAATTTGGGTCAGAATATCAAGTTGAGTAAGGATGGATATGGGTTGGGTCGAAAAAATCAAATTGAGGAAGGATTGATCAAGTTTGGGTCAGATATATCAAGTTGAGTTAGGAGGGTTGGTCTAAAGAAATCTTTTTTTTAAAACTAAATATTTTTTTTATTTTCCGTTGGTTATAGTTTCACAATATTGTTACTATATACTATATATCACATTTTTTAGGATACGGAAAATCAGATACACTTATTTTGTGCTGTATTAAATAGCGATTAGCAATTGGGTTCGAGAATATGTTAATTAGATAATTACAAAGTGAAAACGCCATTTTTAGACTTCCAACATATATCTTGGTGAAAGTTCATTTGGTAAAAGGTGCCTGGAGAGCTTAAGAGAAACGTATCGGTTTAAAACAGTTTAGAATGAAGCATGGAAGTTTTCTTAACTTTTTTTTTCCGCTTGATTGTGTTTAAAAAACCTTTCTTTACGATGCATTCGTAGCCATAGACTGAAGACGATGCTGAACGATAATTTTTTTCCGAAATATAGTCGAAGAAAGTAAGCTTTTGTAGAAATCTTTGCTTCTTTCATGATCTTGTGCTGTGGTTGCGTATCTCTCTGATTGACAGTTAACTCCTACACAGGGATAGTAGAATTATTCGGTTTTTATTCTATGGAATCTTATATGTGAGTATGTTACTTGGGAGATAATATATGTACCCAATAAACTATAGTATATTACACAGGTTTTCATACAGATATTTTATAGTATCTCCAGGTTCATGTGCAGTTGTATCTTTATAATGTATTAATATGTACCAATTGATTCAATTGTACAGGAAAATTTTCTACAATCTTAGGTTCACAACTAACTAATATGAAAAAAACTTTGTATTGCAGCGTTCATATATATAAGATATCTCCGGCTTCTACTGCCCAGGTCATCTCTTTAAAAGATAAAGATACAAAGTGAACGGTTCTCAAGTTCTTGTACAGATATTTTGTAGTATCTCCAGGTTCATATGTAGTTGTATCTTTATAATATCGTGTTATGTAGGGATTGATCCAATTGTACAGGCGAGTTTTATACAGTCTCAGGTACACATATAAGGTAATAATATATGTATAAAGTTATTCAGATGTACAGGATACAGCAATACACATATCTCCAGGATCAAACATAACTTCGTTCTTCCAAAATATCTCAACGGGTTCCAGGTTCATATACCTTGGTACTATAAGCAATGATATTCATCGTTTAGCACTAATATTTATTAAAATTAATTATTAATTTAAAACAAATCATAGCAGCAGAGGGTGAAAAAACAAATTTTTTTTGCTTTTATTAAACAAGGATTTTGACGGAATTTGAGCAGATTTTAACTTGAGTAAATAAGAAAGACCTTTTTTGTCTACATATTGCATTAGTTTTCTGGGATTATTACTTCCGTTTTATTGGACCAAGCTTAATATCTGAGCAGGTTCTTCTGAGTTTCAATTTGCACATCACAAGAAGTGCTTGTACCTAGAAAAAGTTCAACCGAAATATAAATTGAGAACCAAACAATTTCCCGTTGGAATTCTAAGTTTACCGGAATGGTTTGAAGTAGAGTGTAAGTAGTCGGTTTCCTCTCCTCTGGATCTCGCTAAGACCATGATAGAAAGGTTTCCGGTTCTCACTGGTATGCAGGCGTAACCTTGTAATAAATAGTTGAAATATTCAGGTAATAAGGTGCGTATACAATAGTATTGGTGCATATTACACATAACTGTACGGTTCTCAGGTTCTCATACAGATATTTTTTAATATCTCCAGGTTCATATACATTTGTATCTTTATAATATAGTATTATGTACCGATTAATCCAATTGTACAGGCGAGTTTTCTACATTCTCAGGTATACAGCTAGGGTAAAATATATGTACGAGGTTATTCAGATGTATAGGATACACCAATACAATTATCCAGGTAATAATGTGCGTACACAAAATATTGTTGTATATTACACACAAATGTACGGTTCTCAGGTTCTCATATAGATATTTTGTAATATCTCCAGGTTCATATACAGTTGTATCTTTATAATATAGTATTATGTACCGATTAATCCAATTGTACTGGTGGTTTTTCTACAATCTTAAGTATACAGCTAGGGTACACATAAATGTACGGTTCTCAGGTTCTTATACAGATATTTTGTAATATCTCCAGGTTCATATACAGTTGTATCTTTATAATATAGTATTATGTACAGATTAATCCAATTGTACAGGCGGGTTTTCCACACTCTCAGGTATACAGCTAGGGTAAAATATATGTATGAGGTTATTCAGATGTACAGGATACAACAATACACATATCTCCATGATTTACTATAACTCCGTTCTTCCTATGTGTCTCCAGGTTCTAATGCAGAAGTAGTTTAAATATCGATTAGTTTAAAAGTGTTCAAATATATTAAAAAATATATTAAAAATTAAATTTGATTATCTGGAATACAAAACCTAACTAGTATGAAAAACTATGTACAACGGCATTCGTAATTGCACAAATTCCCAAGATTCTACGGCCCAAGTCATCTCTTTCAAGGATAGATGTGCAAATTCATTTTCTACATAATTCATAACCATATAATAATGTTAACAAACAATATAATATCTCGTTGGAATTCTACGTTTACCAGAATAGATTGAAAAAGTGTGGGTGGTCGGGTTCTGCTTCTCAATCAATCAATTTAGGAGTACATGTCTATGTTAATTTAACTTCTCAATCAATCAATTAAACTTAAGGATGTAGAGGAATGTAAAGGAATGTAAACAGATGAAAAGATAGTTTTGCCAATCGTTTTTACCATTCATTCATTGCATAGGTAGAGGGGTTCTGCAGGTAGAATTGTAGATGCAAAGGAGTATTAGACAGTTTAGGGAAAATTTAATTAAAATTTTTTTACCGTAGTCAGCTTGAGAGTGAAAAAATAGAGTTTTAATGTCCTCTCTTACTCCGGCTCGGTCTGCTTCACGTTGCGTCCCTGATCAAAGCATAGGACGGAGGTTAATTTTCAGGGTTAACAATGGGTTTTTGAAGACTTGATTAGACATTTTGCAAGTGGAAAAAAAAATTCCTTTCTAACATTTCCTTTTTTTTAAAGAAGTATTTAAAATATTTGAAACTTTTTGGATTATATGGTTTTGATAAAAAACTGGACCAAATTGGCTTTTTTTTATTAAAAAAAGGTAAGATATCATTACTAATTTGAAACCAAATCATCGATTTTAAGTTTGTTTCCAGAAATCTTTCAACTTAGGATGTTGCATATAGCTTTAGCAAAATATTTGACACGAAGGAAGAGACAAAAAGTTATCATGATTTAAACCGCGATTAATTACCGTGTATTGCTGGTGGAGAAGTTTATTCACTTATCTTGTAGCTCCCATGTAATATAGGATATACTTGATGAATATGCTGGTTTTGTGAGTATCGATGTTAGACTTGCTGATTGTTGGGGTGACTGAGGCCAGGTTGTTTTATAGAAGTCGAAAGATAAATAAGATGGTTGGAGCTTGGTGTGGTTCTGGTTCTGGATTGATGTCTATTGGTTAGTTTTAAATCCCTTTTAGGTAGGTTAACTCCTTTTGGATATTGATGTATATGGGAGTAGGAAAAAGTCTTCATGTTCTCAGGATCGGATTCGACATATATGGCTGTGGTTTTTTCGAGAGCTGCTATATAATCGAGCTTCTCCATTCGACAAGGAAACTTGAGAAAATTTAAAGCACGTCCAGAACAAATAATACTCGAGGTTAGCTGACATTCTACCTTTTAGATGGTCTTTGCAGCTTGTGAGCAGGCAGGGAGCGCTTCGATCTCCCTGTGGATACAAGGTCATCATATCCACAATTCGGTCTGAACTCCTCCACCCACTTAGAGAAAAGTGAACCTTCAGGGACATAGCCGCCAAGAGAGGGTACGGGCGTTTCAGGATCTCCCCTTAAAAAATGTATACAGCGCTGAACTAAATCCCGAACAAGGGTTATAGCATGAGGGGTAAGATGGACAAGGTCGTCACATATCATTTCGTCCCGGCAAACCCAACTATCTCTGTGACAAATATCCTCAGGGGTAAGGACAAAGGACCCTTTAAGTGATGGTAGTCTAGAGATAAAAGTCCCAAGGCGGATCACTTCAGCATTAAACTCATTTCCAGAGTATCCCGCATAGAAGTGACTCGCGTTGCTACAGCAAGACCTAATGTATCGAGGCAATGGTGTGATAAAAACTAGTTTCATCCCTTGTTTTTTAATTGCTCTCACAATCTTGTCCACAAAACTACCGAAATTATCGAAGTATTCAGGGTCATAGGGTGCAACATTTAGGGCATGGAATACCTTAGTTTTCCCGGCCCCGACCTGAGCAAATCCTGCTGGTTCTCCAGAGGGTTGGTGACGCTTATATTTTGGGGTTAACATGCCCTGGATTAAAGAATTTCCCATCCTATCAAGGATAATAATGTCGTTACTCCCACACTCAAGGTTGTCCAAAAAAGACTCAATCTCGTCAACAGTTGCAAGGATATTGAAACTGTATTTGACATAAATAATTTCTTCTTCTAGAGAGGATTTGAGTTCTGACGAAAGAAATTAAAAGTTGCTATTTCCCACAATGAAAACACGTTTATTCTTATTCATGTTCACCTGGTGAGGGAGCTCATTAAAGGCTTCAAAGTTTCCCAACTCATCGGATCTTGGGAGGGTATCTAAAAAATTTTCTAGACCATTCTTGGAGTACCAATCATGAATCAGATAAATCAGCTGTTGAGAAAGATAGGTTGAAACGCTGGAATCTACTATCCCATTTGCAAACCGGGAACTAGGCAGACCAGGGAATCTAGTCCTGTGCTCATATACTTCAAAGTCTCTAGTGACAGGGCTAATGGCTACATAACCAGTGGGTTCCATCTTAGGGGGGGGGTTTATGCAAAACTTTGACATTGTGTTGGACATTGCTTTGTAAAAAAACCCCGGACTTTGAGTTGGGTCGACGGCTGCTAGGATTTCATTTGACCTTGCAATAACAGAGAATGACTCGGCAAGTCCGTTGTCATTTTCCTGAAATAGTGAGAAACCTTCAAAGACTCTGATAGCTGACGAGCAAGGCTTATGGATACGATGGTCTGTGGGGTGGATATCTTCCCTGGTTGATAGAAATAGGGTTGCCCATGCCTTGAAGAGTTTAAATTCTTGTAAATAGACAGCGGCTCCAACAGTCTTCAGATAAGCTGGGAGTGAAATTATAATTAAACGCGGAGAGCCAATGTATTGTTCATCATTTTTTTTACGCGATTTAAGCAGGAATCTCAGTTTGTGCGCGATCTCTCTGAAGGTCGCGTTATGCAACCGGAATGTAGGAACGCATTTACCCCCACCCATCATCATTACAGGCATGTACGCGTCGCCGACAAGAAGAGTTCCGACCTCTTCCTTGGGAAAAGCGTCGTGCTCTACGGGGCAAACAGTACATCTGCGCATGATGTCGAAAGTGCATGTGAAGCTATCATTGCAGTTAAAATCGGCAACCCTCAGAGCATAACCGGCTCTGTGATCTCCATAGAAACTCGGCGCACTCTCATTAGGTTTTTTAACAATTTCTTTTACCGTCATGATACCCACGTCCTCTGTTTTAACAAGACATAGTTTGGGGGCACTAGAGGGAGCAATAGGTGTGGCGCAGGTTGGGGGTTTAGTCCAAGCTCGCTTTTTATATAATATAACATTTTTGATAAGGAATTCACTAACTCGTTGGTATGGAGCCACACTTATTGCTAGGGACGAGACATTTTCGACATTATTATCCTGACCACCTTTAGTACATCCCAGCATGGTACCCTTAAAAAAGCTCACAGTGTTGTTATGCTGCTTGGGGGGGTTAAAGTTTTTAAAATACAGGTTGTCCTTTGGCTGAATATCCTTTGCCCACACCTCATCAGCGACTATTCCCCTACTTGGGTTCCCCCTGTCTCTCCCCAGTACATTTGCCTGACGCGCATTTTTGCTCTCCTGACATGTTTCCTTGACGAGTTTCTCGGACTCAATTAAATGTAGATCGATTGCCATCACCGTTGGATCGACCTCCTCACCTTCAATGTCCATTGGAGTCGGGATTGGGTTGGCCTCATCGTTGCTACCCATCATAGAAAAATAATTCTGAAATTTAACATCACTTAGGAGGATTAACAATGTAACATTTATTAACAAGCCTAACTGTGACTGCGCGCAGTTTAACACCGATTCGTAATCTTTTATATTCATGATAAAATTTTGATCTATAAAAAATATTCAAAATCATGTTATAACTGTATAGTGTGAGAATGTGATTGCCATCACAAAATAAATCATGAGATGACAATTTGGCTGGCCGGAATTTCTCCTTAAAATTGAGTGCAAGAAGAAATATTAAAGCATTAATTAAAGCAAGAACCAAAAGAAATATTAGAGTATTAATTAACGCATAAAACAAACAACGGGCGCGGATATTTTTGATGCATATTTGTTCATACTTGAGGTTGTGTAATTGAAAGTAATTTACTTTATAAGCCGAAAGCGCACTCATATTATAGAAATATTTTATTAGGAAGAATTGGCGATCACAAACTATTTCCTGTGTAAACACGAATAAGTTATATTGCAAATTGAATGAATTTTCCTCCTTTACTCCAATACAAAATGGCTGGAAAGCCTTGTGTTTAGACGCCACGGTTTGGTTTGGCAGTATCCTTATTATGGTAGTTGCAACTATTATTGCCCACCGAACGACGTCTGTTAAATTAATACTATACATTGCAGGAAAAAATAATTTAGGTTTCATGTTCATATTCCACAAATACCGGTTTGTTAATTTTAGAAGTGTGGTAGAAGATAAATTGCATTAACTTGGAGGTGCTATATATTCGTCTGGTATTCCTTGTGGAAAATATATAGTACATAACTATGAAACAAATAATGTTGGTAGTTTCAATATTAAAAGTTAAAGGGTTGCTACATCCTAAAAATATTGTAATTTTCAGTTCTTCATATGATAGGACTCCATTCGATATTATGAGGTTAAGATCGTTTATAATATCACTTATTTTGGGACAGTCCCAGAAAATATGAGAGATCGTTTCTCTCGGTGCAGGCCTAAGATATCCAAACTCGCACCGTTGGCATGTAGGGTCATGATCCTGAACAAAATGTGCAATCATTGCATTATGGTATAGGGTCTGGGATGTGAAGTTAAAAATAAAACTTCTCAGGTTGTTTCTTAAACTAGAAATTCTAAAAATTTTATAAAAGTTGCAGTCTCTCTCAGGTTCTGCATTGTTGTAATATGCAAGTGCAGAGCGCTTTCTCAGCCCAGTCTCTGGTTCAATTCCCTGCTTAAAATTATCAAAGATTCTTCTTAACCTAACACTACCTTTAGTTATTTTTCTAAAGAAGGTAAGGATTGGAGTACAGACTTTGTCTTTGTTTAATGAAAATTTTCTCTTCACGTTCCTATGTACTGATTTTAAATAGAAAAATTCTAATACGTTTGGCCGAAACCCAAGGTATAAAGTTATACTATTTTCTGAGAATGTATTGCTGTCGAAAATGTCCACTAGGTGGACGAATCTTAGTTTCTTGATTAGGGAGATTTTTTCAAGTGTTAGATTTATTCTGAAATGGTTCCTGTTTAGTTTCTTGCCGGATTCTAGTAGTGCAATGTCATTATCATATATTCTCATATCAAGAAAATTACCATTCGTCGACCAGAAAAAATTACAGAAATTTCGAACGCAAACTGACAGTTCTCCACAAGGAGTGTTTGTTGCTATTGAGCTTTTAAAATGGAATGGAAAATCCTCAGATATTCTGTATCTCTGAATTTCTTTTGCCCAAAAATCGTCATTATTAATTGATTTCCTGAGAAACCCAACCCTGATCGCATTTATGTAAGACTCAATCTCAATCATTCCTAAGCCTCCTTGATGTATTGCATTATATACCGTGTTTATTGTTATTTTCAAACTCCCTCGCACAAAGAAGCCAATCTCATTTCTGAGGGTTTCCATTTGAATCTCACTAAATGCGATCACAGGGGCGTAAAAACCAATTTGTGACAGGAGATATGTTTTTGCAATATTAATCCGACCGACAATTGAGAGTTTAAATTTTTTCCAGAATAACGACATTCCTCTAATTTTTACCATGAGCTTGTTAAAATTAGTTTCCTCCAAATGAAAATTTTCGCTTATATCCAACCCTAAGATTGTTAAATTTTTCACAATTGAAAAGCCAGTTTCAGCAATATTTCCAGCAAAATTAGGTGAAACATTAATTGGTAAAACCTGAGTTTTCTCTACGTTAATTTTTAAGCCAGATAGTTTACCAAAATCATCCAGTATATTTTTAACATTCACAATATTTTCAGGTTCGCCATTTAGACGTATGGAGACGTCGTCAGCATAACTACTATCGTTTATATGAGAGCCGTTTTCAAAAACCGGATGAACAACACCTAAATCCAGAGTCAGCTTCCAGAGCAGAGGTTCTAGCGCTAGTATGAAGATCAGACCTGATGGTGAGTCGCCTTGTGCTACTCCGCACAATATATCAAAGAAATCTATAACGCCAGACTCAGTTATGATGCCAGCAATTTTCTTTTTCATTGTGGTTCTGACTATTTTTATCATATAATCGGAATAGTTGAAAAATTTCAAAATTTCAAGAATATATTCGTGCGATACAGAATCAAAAGCTTTTTTGAAATCGATTGCCAGTAGCGCTAACCGTTTGTTCTCAAGTTTTCCTTTCTTAATGCATTGTAATATATTCATTAGAGCTTCATGTATGACCTTGGATTTTGAATAGGCTTTTTGTGAATTGGATGTGTTTGAGTCAATTACGCGTTTTAGCCTATTGGCAAATGCTTTCGAAAATACCTTATAAACATTACTTAAAAGACTTATTGGACGCCAATTTTTAATTTGTGTACAATCTCCCTTCTTAGGAATAAGCTTAATACTTGCAGTTCTTAAATTAGGATAAAGTTCTTCCTTTTCAACCATAATTTCAAACCCCTTGGTTACAGGATGTCCAATTAAAGGCCATAGAAACTTAAGTGTAGCATAGTTGTATCCATCCAAACCAGGACTCGATCCTATCTTTGTCTCTCCCAGTGCTTTTGTAAGCTCATAATGTGAAATTGGAACATTGTCTCTTTCAGAATCTAAGTTAGATAATTTTTTCGATTGCACATACCCACTGTTCATAATTTCTGGAGTTAAAATTGTTCGAGACTTAAGTTTTTTGCCGGAAGTTTGCTATAAATATTTTTTAAATAATTGCATAAATCAGCATTTCGTTCATCATTTGATCCAATGAAGGATCCAATAAAGAACGTTTAGAATGATATATTTTATCGTAAATATTGACGGAGTCAAATAGGTTATGTTGTGGAGACTTGGAGGAACCTCTCTAGCTCAGGTCCTGATTTGAACTGCTTGTCGGTTTGTCTTGCAGGATTGAGGTTGTTTTTTCAAGGTCTGTGTTCTTTNAGTCGTCATCGAAATCAAGAATTTTTTTTTCTAGATAAATTTGCTCTTGGTAAAGGATGGTTTCAGTATTTAAATTCATTTTCTGCAACTCTGACATTCTGTTTCTCATGTCTTTTAGTAAATATTAGTGACTTTTTTATGTGCACGCTGGTGTGACATTATACAATTATGAAGATTGTTCATTAAAGTCTCAAGAAATTTGTCGTATTCGATTATGATTGGTTTATTTTGGACTATATCACTTATATCTAGAAATGGGGAGATTATTTCATCAATTTCATGGCATTTTTTTTCAATTACAGAGGTTAGTAATTTATCATGCGGGAAGTTATTAATTGATTTTTTAATAGAGATGATGTCTGCAAGGAGGGACCGTGCAGAGGTGAGCTGTCCATTGATCTCCACGATGAATTGAGGATCAACCAGAGGGTCGAGATAACCACAGAAAGTTCCCAGAGTTTCTAAACACACGGCCTGCTTCAGGCCGGAGATGTTTAAGAGACTGGGATCCAGAAATGTCAGATTGCGTGGAGATCTCCTGGCCCGGACAAGGAGGACTCCCTTGTGGTCAAAGAGCTTTGTAGTGATAGGCAGGTAGCTTAGATTAGAAAAGGATTTAACAAAATTTCGAGAGCATAAAAAATGATCAATTCTTGATCTTGAGTGGTCATTTTTGTTAAATGGGACATGACTGAAAATTCTGCGGTCAGGATAGAAGTGTCTAAAAATGTCAACAGTGAACCCGGTTTCACACCACATGGAGAGGGTTTTAGAGTTTGAGACATTGGGGATTTGTATCATGTTTTTTAATATCCAAGTTGAACTTATTTGTGTCAGTTATTGCATTTGCATCAGTTACCATGTTGAGATCGCCACCTATTAGAAATTCATGATTACCCAAACTAAGGATGTCTCTCTTCAGGTTGTCCAAGAAGTCGGGGTCCTGATAAACAGTGGGACCGTACACCGAACCCACCAAGAAGACTGAATCATGAAAGGATATTTTCAAGATCAGATAATTCTTCAGACTACACTTCACGAAATCTACTATCTTATAAGGTAATTGTGACTTAATTAATATTGCTACACCACGGCTAGCCTGGGTAGAGTTGGCATATATGTGATATGAACCAAACTTATGGAATTCTAACCTTTTTTTAAGAATTTTTTCACCTTCTGTACCCAACCTGATGTCTTGCAGTAAGATTATTTCTGCCTTCTTGTCTAAAATGGATTCTAACTTCTGGTCAAATCTGTTTAGATTGTTGCTTAATTGAAAACGCGTTGATAAGTTCAAAGAATTAACGTTCTGTGATAAAAAACGTATGCCATTTAGATCGTTAAATGTCGCCATTATTGTTTATTATGAGTACCGTATTTGATATAGTTGAAAAAAAAAGAGCGCTTATAAGCCTTAGCGCATTTAAAGATGATAGGGTTTATAGGATTAAGAGGATTTTTATAAGTTTTCTGAAGGTAAATAACGAGGACGTTTGATTTAATTAAAATTAATTCATAGCTTCTTGTTAATATTCGTTTAAAGATTCCTAGTTTAAGTTTTGTATAAAATGAAAATGTGCTAGGTGGATGATTGCATACAAATTTCAAACTTAATAGAAGCGGAAGGTTTAAAGAGAAACAAGATATCTGTTCCCCGTTAACTTTTTG